ATTGAAATGTTCGAACTATTCGTGAAATAAAATGATAATAATTTTCCTAGAGGTAAGAATTTTGCTAAAATGTTGTTTTTTTTTTCATCTTCAGCCAGTGGCAATTTCTACAACACCTATCTCTGGGTGTGATAAAAGTGTAAAATAAAAAATGTTGTTATTTAATGCAGTTATCAAAAGTTAAGGCAAAATGAAATAATGAAGTATGTTCAATACGAAGCGTTTTAAGACAATTTCATATTTCTAAAATGTTGGTCTTCAAAATTTCAACATACCCAAATGTCCGTCTATATTATTACAGCCTTCAAAATTTGCAAAACATTGCCTGGGAATCTGAAATATGAAATATATATTAATAAGAATTAAAATTATTGTATTTAATTAGTGACATATGAAAATTTTGTGTACGTGAAATGTTCATTTGAATTTGACCTTTGTCTTTGCATGGTCAATGCCTACTATCTTGTTAAATTAACTACAGATATAACACATTAATATGGGAATTAATATTAATTAAAAGGGTTCTAATAAAACTACTCACCGAGATTACAAAGAGTAACACCGGAACAAACAATTCCAGCTTTCCCATTGTCGCATAGAAAAAGTACAAAACTAAAAAAAGTTCAATCAAATCTAAAAGGTATTGTAATATCTGTCGGTTGAAAGTCTTTTGAGGCCTCTTACCTGCTCCGCTTTTATACACCCCCGCTTTTTTATCAATATATCTCGCTGTGTCAAAGGGAGGACTTTCTACGGCAATTTTGAGAAATAATCTTCCGGCATATCTGTCTCCAGCCTTTTGTTCGTCGATGTGATGTATTGTTAGTAATACTCAGACTTGAGACTTAATGTCTGCCCTCAAACTGACCTTAAAGCGAGTGGTCATTTTTAGACCAAGTGTGCCTTTAAGATGCGATATTCGCACTGATAAACCGCTTATCTACTCTTGTTATCATTTATTTATGTATACCGCCGCACAATTTCCGCACGATGACTTAACAATGGGCCTTATCTTTTGTGCGTGCATTTGTCCTAACTCGTAGGTTAATTAAAACGTCTTGGTAATAGTTTTATTAACATACACCAAATGAGGAGTTCCCGTAGGCCTCAGAAACCGGATCCAGAAATAAATAAATAAATAAATAATATAACAAACAACACATAGATAAATTAAAATCAATTATAGATTTATGTAATACATATATGTGCACTCCATCTGCAAGAGGTGACTTTGGGGTTACGCCAGGCTTCGTAAAGGAAGCGCGATTTCTCACAGTCCTCGTCTGGTGAGCGATTTGTTTCAGAAACTCAATGTCCTGAGGATGGAGCAACCACCTTTGGGCCCTGATATTAACTCTGCTGAGCATCTGTGTCAGGAATTGGGGTGTGAAAGACAGAGGAGAACCACACCCCCATCGCGTCCCCATTAATTTTGTCGAAGGCCTACCACGTCGCCTACCGGATATAAGTGCAGGAAGCGGTATACACACATATTATTAGACATGTGTCAAACTTATACATTTTTAAAATAAAGTTGAACATGATCAAAACTGAAATCGAGCAAAGAATAATTAGGGCAATAGGTTAAAAATACAATATATGACAAAAAATTCAACAAAAGTGTGAAACGTACAATATGAGTTTTATTGTAATTTTTTGTTACGATTTTAATTACAATCTTTCACACGAAAGTAGAAATTTTAAAAAAGGAGTTATTTATTTAGTTATCAGAACTGCTAATCTTGCATGTTTTGCTTAACAAACTACTATCTACTAATCAGTACAATTGATGCCACCCTTGTCATATAAACTCACCATTTTACATTGCGTTCCTCACTATCATCACCACCTTCAATCAATCAATCAGTCAATAAATAAATAAATAAATAAACCATTCCATCAATCATTTAGACCGCAGTCGACCGTCAACATCATTAACTAAAAAAGCACTCACAGAGCGCGGACCTCCGCCAAGGCAGCAAAGTCTCCATCCAATGCCGTTTTACCCCTAAATTCGTGATATTTTTTATAATTGATTATTGATTGATCATTAATCCGGATCACCACCAAAAACTAATCATCTGTTCCTCGGCCCACTTCTGACAGTTCCTGAAATTTTCGTCAAAATCGGTCCATAACTAAGTTTTTTATTATTGATTATTGATTGATTATTGATCCGGATCACCACCAAAAACTAATCATCTGTTCCTTGGCCTACTCATTTATGTGGTCCAAGCCAGTGTCCTCAAGGAGAGCCTGGGCCCCGTAACTCGAAAGCATCGCGCATTGCGACCGAGAGCAAGCGTTTCGATTCCATAATTCGCCCATACTCGCCCTGTGCCTGATGACAGTAGAGATTTCATTCATGCCATTTAACAGATATGAAATATATTTCTTTGGGTTGACTCCATTTAGAAATAAGGTATCGACTTGTCTTCAATGCACCTCCATATATTTAGAATAAAATACAGTATGTATTCCTTCCTTTTAAAACAAAGACATTATGTACAGTTTAGCATTGATGACTTGCATGATACTACTACACATATGAGCAGTGGTCTTCATAGGACGAGCGCATGGATAGTCGAAACGATCACAATTCAAAGTAATATATGTATAGAGTCAAGGTCACCCCCTCCCCCCCCCAAAAAAATATATATATATATATTAAAGCATTCGAGTCGCGTCAGCGACGCAAACATTTTGTGTAATTTCTGCATAATTCTTACTTTTTCCCTCTGCTTAATACAAGAGTTGACGTCAAATAAATCAAATTAGTAAGTCATCAATAATTAAAAGTGGCATGGAACAGTTGTGCAAATATTACGCAATATGTAAGTCATTGACGTGATTCGAATTTTCTGGAAAACCCCAGAAAATGCTGCGTTAACTTGAGTAACTAGGGGGTAACACCGTTATTTATCCTCTAGTATAGCTTGAGTAGGCGTGCCAGACATTTAAGCTGCTTACACTGAATACAGTTTAGCGAAAATTCCAGCAGAGTTAGATCGATCTAGCTAGTACGATGGGTTTATGGGGATGGGGATGCTCACGATGTCTGATACCAATAAGTCCAATATTTTCCACTTAAAGCCTGTAATAAAAACAAAGTCATAGGACTAAGGAGGTTAGTTGGAATCGAACCCAAACTCTTGAACTCTACAGTCTACGCTGTCCATTACATAACATCACCAAGTCGCTTTCAACCATTACATCGACAATTTAATCTCGTGTTCAACAGCTTCAGCTACTATATGTACAAAGATATATATATATATATATATATATATATATATATATATATATATATATATATATATATATATATATATATATATATATATATAATTGGACAGTAGGACCCCAATTTTCGGATTTTTTTTTTATTATTCACTACTACTATCTGACTGGGGGGTTCCTGATACTGGTTCCATGACAGAATTTACAATTTAAGTCTACATTTTTAGTCAGCTTTGACCTTAGATAAATGCCTTCATCAGTAGGCTAGTAGTCCACTGAACTAAAATATTGAGTCTGCTATTTTATGGAAAGAAAGAAATGGCTTTTTTTATACTATTTCTTTTGGTGCACTACAATGGATTTAAACGTAACAGAAAAGACCTGTCTTGAATGTTACAGCTTTCGGCCATAAGTTATTTATTTATTTATTTATTTATTTATTTATAGGTCCGATTTCTGAGGCATAGCGCAGCGTAGCGTATGGAGAAAGGTCTGAAAGACATGGATGTCGTATGTGAAACTTTTGGCGCATGAAATCACCCTTTTTTCGGCGAATGCAAATGAAGGCTTTAGTAGCGTTTATTCAAAGGATGGGTGATAAAAAATAGGGTCCCATTGGGGGGCAGTCATGGCAGTTCCCGGGAGTGATCAATTTACAAATCACAGTAAACTAAAATTCATTCATATCTCACAAATAATACGAATCAAAAACTAATTTTTAGTCAATTTTAACCATAGATAAATGACTTTATCAGTAGGCTAGTATTCCACTGAAAAGAAATATTGAGTCTGTTATCAATCAATTTACAAATCACAGTAAACTAAAATTTATTCATATCTCACTAATAATACGAATCAAACAGTAATTTTTAGTCAATTTTGACCATAGATAAATGACTTTATCAGTAGGCTAGTAGTCTGAAAAGAAATATTGAGTCTGCTATTTTATGTAAAGAAAAAAATGTTGTTTTTTTTTCAGAATACTTATTCTTTTGGTGCACTACCACGGATCTAAACTGAACAGAAAAGATCTGTCTTGAATATTTCACCTTTCGGTACTAAGTTATTTATTTATTTATTTATTTATTATTATTATTATTATTTGTGGATCCGGCTTCTGAGGCATAGCGTAGCGTATGGAGAAAGGTCTGAAAGGTATGAATGTCGTGTGTGAAACTTTTCGTGCATGAAATCACCCCTTTTTTTCATTGAATTAGAATGAACGCATGAGCAGCGTTTATGACCTAAACCAAGCGAATCCATTACGTTTGTGCGTCTATGAGTAATTTTTATTTTACGTTCTCATAGGTTGGTGGTTTACGCAAGTACTTTTTTACGTATTAGGACAAATGAACGCACAAAGATAAGGCCCATGGTCAAGTCACGGTACGGAAATTGTGACGTGGTACACATTAATACGAAAATAAGTGATAAGAAAGAGGGTCCCATGGGGGATAGTCATCGCAGTTCTCGGAAATGATAAATTCACAAATATCAGTAAATCAAACATTATTCATATCTCACTGATAATACGAATAAAAACTCCTGAAAATCACGAATTACCGGGTATAATGATTTCCTTTGCACGAAGGGGGAAGAGTAAAAAGCCGCCTTGACGAGTCATTGGAATGGGGTAATATCCGGATCACGCTAAATAATATGAGCGTTTCTCGGGAAACGAAAATACCCAACGGGACCCTCAGGAAAGGTACAAGCGCGGTTTACTGGTGCGGCTACTGCATCTAAATAGCACTCTTGGTCTAGAATTCACTTCACGGTCAATTAAGAGAGGACGGGCATTAAGTCTCATGCCGCTGCTTTACCAACTGTGCATTACATCGATAAACTGACGTCTGGAGACTGATTCCCCAGTAGATTATTTCCAAAAACGTTTGAAATGACGTCACACTTGCCGTAGAAAGACGTTCCTTTGACACGGTGAGATATTTTGATAAAATTCGAGAGTGGATAAAAGCTGAGCAGGTAAGAGGTCTCGACAGAATTTTAACTGACGGATATCAGAAAGCTTTTAATATATTATTGACTATTTTTGTACTTGTTCATGCTATAATGGGAATGCTGGAATATTGTGGGTTTGTTTCCACGTTGCTATTTGTAATTTTGGTAAGTAGATTATTTTGTTGCCAATCGCAGTGTCCATAATTCGATTTTAGTTATAAATATGAATGTATTTTAATTGTCGCTTAGGTATTGACCATTCAAAGCAAGCAATCAAATTCACATGAACATTTTATGTACACACAATTTTCATTGAATATTTCACTTATTTAAAACGAGGATTTAACTCGTGTAATATATAATAATATATATTGCATATTTCAGGTTCCCAGGCAATGTGTTGGAAATTTTGACGGTTGTATGCATATAAGCGGACGTTTGGGTATGTTGAAATTTTGAAAATCAACATTTTAGAAACATGGTATTTTCTTGAAACTCAAAACATTGCACTACTCTTTAGACATACCTTATTAGATTAACGTTGCCTATATATGTCTGGCTTTTGATACCAGCATTAAATATAACTGGCGTTTATCTTTTACACTCTTATTTCACTATTACTTATAAAGACAGATTTTGTAGAAACTGGCAGTGGTGGCAGTATGACATTATAGAAATATATGGTTAATAAAATACATAATTATTACCGCCTTGGAAAATCATTATCATTTCATTTCAAGAATAGTTCAAAACACTTCAATTCTTAATTTTGTCTAAATTTGATTATTTTCAGTATGCGAGTACCACTTGGAATTCGCTGATGCCTACACGATGACTTATGAAAACGACCGGGTGGTAGCCGACTGCACCAAACCCGATGGCTCCCGGTTGGAAAATGGCTGCGTGGCCTGTAAACTGACGGAGGGTGGAAACTGCGGGGGAAATGACTCGGTTGCCTCCATCCCTTTTGGTGAGTTTTTATTTTAATTGTTAATGGAGTAGTTTATAAAACTATATACCCTAATGGTGCTTTAGTAGTAAGACAAGTTAAGTTATATTAGACACTGTGAAGTAAAGGTCCCATTTTCTAGCCAATCCAAAAAAACGGATACAATCCGATTATTTGGTTTTGTTTCTATAAAGATACCCCATTTCTATTTCAGAAAGCATCAACACTGGCGATGGTATATTCCGCAGAATCGTCACAGTAAATGGTTCGCTAGTTGGTCCAATTTTGAGAGTAAGTTAACTATTTCAACTTTATCACAAACAAAGTAATTACCAGTGAGTTGAAAAATAAAAATATGTTTACTGTTAGGGAATCACTAGAGGCTTAAGACAGGAAAATGATGTAAATCCTGCATGTATTAGTTAGTATAATTTATTTATTTATTTATTTATAACCATCTCTCCACCTTTTCCATAGGGTAAAGTTGGAGCCCAAATGGTCATTCACGTGACCAACCACCTGTACGACAGTCCACTGACCATCCACTGGCATGGTCAGTTCCAGTACCTGACCCCGTTCATGGACGGCGTCCCTATGATCACACAGTGTCCTATTGAGAAAGGACAAACCTTCACCTACAGATTCAAGGCGGATCCTGCTGGTAGGTAAAACTTCTGTAGGTTAAAGACATCTAATATTCGGCAACTGCTAAAACAGTGTTAAGTGTATGATAAATTTCTACAATAATAATTATTTTTGCCATTCTATCACTGATTTTGTTTGTTATGTGTAACTAGACATAAACATAGTCATTGCAAATGCACGGTATAAAGGTTATTGTCGAATCAAGAGTTTTCTCAAAAAAAACCTTGAGCAAGATCTATGCATTGTCTCAGGTATTCAAAGTATCCCATTATTTACTAACAATTTTCTTTGTATTTGTTAAGGAACCTTCTGGTATCACGCCCATACAGCTGGAAAACGCTCAGATGGAGGACTAGGGGCACTCATTATTCACGAAGATAACGAGCCTAATGCCGTAGAATACAACCACCGACCAGACCTCGGATTCGCAGCCACGCTCAGAGGCCCACCACCACATGACAAGCACGTGGTCACTCTCCTGGACTGGCAGCACGAGCACATGTCGAACGTTTGGCTTCAACAAAATGGCGGCAGTTGGTTCTGGCCCAATAATCCTGCGTTTCCGACGACAGATGATCGTTTCAGCCTCAGTTTTGGACCCGATGGCGTCGCCGTTGCTGGGATACCTTACGTGTCGGCTTTAATCAACGGTAGAGGGCGCTTTGAAAATCCACTATGGTACCAAGACGCTCCAGAGGAGAACAACAAGGTTCCTTATGAACGGTTCTACGTTGACCAAACGCATAAAAACATCATGCCTCAGAAATATAGGTTCCGTATCATTGGTGCTCAGCTACAGTTTGCTCTAAGGTTCTCCGTCGATGCTCATCTAATGACCATTATCGCCTCCGACGGGTTCGACATGGTACCGATACGCGATGTGGAAAGTCTGATCGTTAACCCCGGTGAGAGATACGATGTCGTCATCCATGCTGACAACCCACTAGACCGACAAGCATACTGGATCAGGGCTGCTCCTCACATCAGTGATCCTGGCTATGACACAGGCAACTATTCCCTCCAGGAAGGCAAGGCGCTGCTGATCTACGGAGACGAGACAAGCCCTTACATCTATCCCGAAGACGTCCCCGAAGTCCCTCGCCCTTGCGTTCAGAACCCCAACATAAAGTGTGTTATCGTTAACTGCAATTACAACATCCTCCCTCCCAGTTACAATGCCAGGTGTATCAACCCAGGAGAGTTCAGGAACAGAATGGGTGCTGTGCAGGTACCTGGTGTACGGGAACCACGTATTGAAAGATCCGAAAACCTCTGGATGAACTTTGCCTTCCAGACAGGAGGACCAGGTGTGAACGGGATATCATTCCGGGAACCGACCTCCCCTCCTCTCTCTCAGCCGGACCTCCTCCCCGGCTCCATTACAGAGTGTCCTGCCACCTGCCGAGACTCAGATAACCTAGGAGGATGTAAATGTACCGGCACTGTCAATCTGAACTACAACAGGCCTTACCAGTTTGTCTTTACCAACGTTGGGGCAGGTGGAGCCAACAGTAAGTAGAAGTAGAGCAGGTTTCATTTTTTTTTTGTAACATCTTAATCTCTCGTGTACATGTTTAAATGTATGCTCTATTGTTAAACAGTACCAGTGTCCAATGTTCTGTGAAGGAGTTACATGTTGTGCCTCTTCTTATTTAAAAACATTCAGAACGTTTCTCAAGGGCATTAACGCATTGTGCATTTGTTTACATAAAGGATAGGGTATCGACATACGTGAACTTTTCTAACGTTATAATATATAGCACCTACTGAAATTTTGATGGAAAATAAAACCCCTCATTCCAGCTGGCGCCCCGCACCCCGTTCACATGCATGGCCACAGTTTCTACGTGTTGAAGGTGGCCTATCCAGAACAGTCCCGGGACGGTCTCTTTAACAAGGTACACCCGGACATCTGCTGTCCTTGCCCGGATGATGAGTCGCAGTGCTGTACCACTATTGACGACAGGTATGTTCAAGAGTGGACATGTTGATGATTTCCAATTAATTCAAGCCAAGTCAGACCGCCTTTGCCATTAATTTAAGTTAGCGTACTGTTGCTACATGTACCAGTATTTGCATTCACATGCCCTGATCGTGTATTTAGCATGGGATTGGGATTTCAAACAGCCTGATCACATTGTGAATATAATTTTATAGGATGCTAGGCTATTTCAGGGCATAATATTTTATTAAGAATTTTAGAGGCTAGAATATTGAATATCTGTATTTAATTCAGAATGTTCTTTTTTTGCTCTCCAGCAATAGGCACCTGACCACCTCAACGGGGGGCGTGGTTCTGTGTAACAACCCACGTTTCGTGAATAGACGTTGGAACCGAGATCCGAACAGAATTCAGGGACTGGAACTGAATCATCCTCTGCAAAAAGACACCATCATCGTGCCGGCAGGGGGGTACACAGTGGTTAGGATAATGGCCAATAATCCAGGTGGGTAATTTCTTTATATCAAATTCTTTTGTTGTTTTTCACTTCAAATGCACATAAAACGTTAGATAACTCTAGGACCTAGCCGACAACCATGGGTCCTTACTTAATTGTTTCTGTACGATGTCGTCCTGAACCAGGCCAACCTCCTGTTATATTTTCATGTTTTGGAATATGGAATAACATCAATCTGTTAAAAGAATTTAGAAAAAAAGAAGAGAATAATTTCCCTGTTACCTTACCAGCATCCTTATTCACAGTATATATATTGTTTTAGTTTTGGTAAACAAACATTCATAAATATGATACGAATTGGCCAATATCTAAACAGAAAAAACATTAATCACCAGGTTAATGTTAGAACATTTGTATAGCATTAGTAAGCTTTCAATATTCTCTGTACATTCTAGGTTGGTGGTTGGTTCATTGTCACATAGAAATGCACGCAACAGGAGGGATGGCGTTCGTGATGAACGAGGCTGCCAGAGAGCAGGAACAGCTTCATAAACCCAGAGGATTTACCACGTGTTCCAACTTTGAGTCCTCGGCACAAGACTATTACGACGCCATGGATGTTACCATACGTGGTAGCGATGGACGTGATAGAAGCTGATTGGTCTAATGAGTTTTTTCATTCCTGTCATTCTTGTCGTATTTATACATCAGGCTTGCCTACGCTGCGGAAAACTGAATATATCTATTGTTGACGAAGTCAAAAAACAAAGATATACTCCTAAGCAGCAATTGTAAGAAATCTGTAGTTCGTAGCTATGGTATTTTGCTTCAAAATCTCTCCCTTTGAGATAAACCAACAAGAAAAGAAACTGTGATAGCAGTACGAAAAAGGTACAATGTAACAAGATGAATTTTTTTTATTTTTTCTCAATTACTGTTTGCGTGGTGGTGAACTTTGAAGTAATACGATTTTATCTCAACACCACTGCCATTGTAAGGTGTGCCTGCAGTAATGTGCCATATCTGTGTAAATTGACTTAACTATTGCATGCCTCGGAAAGGCAGTATCGAGTCTGTTCTACGATAGGTTCAAAGGTATACTTACGTGTACGTTGAGAATTATAGAAAAACTTTCATCAAGGAGAATATTTGTACTAGCCTCGCTAATTATTAATAAGCACATGTTTCATTGAATGTGATTGAAATCATATGTCATGTTAGTTGCTCTTTTCCACATCTCAGAAATAATAAGATGTTTCATGTCGGATTGCATTTGGCGTAAGTACTTTGAAATAAGTCGTTTATAAAGGTTTCCATACTTTCAGTAATATTTTTGTATTAATTGGTATACATTTTTTCAATGTTAATTTATTCAAGGTCAAATATACTTTTTCATAATACAAACTTCGTCTTCTGTCTTGTCTTTAAATGTTCAGAACTGTTTTATCGACAAGCGAGAGCACATTCTTTCATTTTCCCAACCGGGGAAATATAAAACAATCATAGATGATACTCTGGTCTTGGTGAAGGGAATGTAGAGATAACAATTTGAAAATAATGTCAAAGAGTAAGAGTTAAATAGAGATATTTGTTCAAAATGACAATTGTTGCGACAGCTATTATTCAATCATAACCTCCGATAAAAACAAAACGCAATCTTCGTGTCGCCGCAACTGCAGCCCCACTGAACGAACACGCATAGATCTATGTAACTTTTGAAGTTTGGACTTTAGAGGATTTATCTAATGAAGACAATATAAAGGCTATGACATATTTGTGTCATCAATATGTAGAAGAATGAGAACCTCTATCAGGCCCGTAGCCAGCAATTTTAAAAGGGGGGTTCTTTTTCTGAAAAAGTGGACCTTTTTCCATAAAAACTTTATGTACCTAGATCAAATTTTACCCAGAGTGGACCTTTTCCCAGCAAAAGGGGCGGTTCTTCCGAACCCCCCGAACCCCCCCTGAGGGCATAGTGCACATTATCAACACCGAAATCACGATGTACAGCTAATAATTCATTTTATATAAATATTGTTTGAAAATTGATGGCCTGACTACAAGATGGCAAGGGAGGTTATTGTTTATCCTACTTCCTTTATTTCTTTCTTTATTTATTTAATTGTTTTTGTAAAAGGCTAGTGTCACAAAGTTGGGAACTTGCCATAGTTTATACTGAGGAAAACATTTATTACAGAATTTTCCAAATGTCCTCAGCTACATGTAGTATTGCGCTTGGTGAATCTTGCCCGCAGCCATTGCGATCGTCCAGTTATTGCTCAATTTCGATAATCCAAAGCCAATATAGAGGTGCATTTCACATGCTGAAGTGTCTAAAAATAAAATTGAATGAATTCAAAGTTGTATTCAATTTTTTAAAAAATATATGTGTATAGAACAAAAATCCACGACTGTCTCAATTTTAATTCAAATTTTAATTTTTACCATGTCTTTATATTACGCAAAGAGCCCTAAATAGTACGCATTTTCCGGAAACGTATGGTAACGTATGTTCCGCGTCATTTAATTTTAATTTTTGTAGTGATTCGGTCATGGTAAATTATATATGACGTAAGTATTTTTATGAATATATAAACTATAACTGAAGGGGCTTTTTAGTCTACTTTGACCTTAGATAAATTATTTTTTTTTCAGTAGGCTAGTAGTCTACTGAAATAAAATATTGAGTCTGCTATTTTTTGGAAAGAAAGAAATGGCCTTTTTTAATCAAAGTACTAATTCCTTTGGTGCGCTACCACGAATTTAAACTGAACAGAAAAGATCTGTCTTGAATGTTTAACCTTTCGGTCCTAAGTTATTTACATGTATTTCTTTATTTATTTATATATTTATTTGTGGATCCGGCTTCTGACGCAAAGCGTAGCGTATGGAGACAGGTCTGAAAGGTATGAATGTCGTATGTGAAACTTTTGGCGCATGAAATCACCCCTTTGAATTAGAAAGAAGGCATTAGTAGCGTATACGACGTAATCCAAGCGAATCCAGTACCTTTGTGTGTTTACGAGTAATTTTTATCATACCCTCTCATAGGTTGGTGGTTTACGCAAGTATTTATTTACACACACTGGACAATAAAAGTGTCAACCCCTGAATCAGAATAATCAAAGTTATTAACCTGAAGAGGCAGAATATAAGCAATGTCAGAATATCGATACAGTTGAATTGTTCAGTTAGAACCGTTTCTTTTTTTAAATTTGATGTTAATAAAATGATACCAAGAGCATATCATTCCACAGTCATTTATCTCCCCCCAAAGTACTGGTTCAGTAGGGGTGACACTTCTATTGTCCAGTGTGTGTACGTATTGGGACAAATGGACGTACAAAAGATAAGGTCATTCGTCAAGTCACGGTACGGATACTGTGTGCAGTGGTACACATTGATACGAAAATAAGCGATAAGAAAGAGGATCCCAACGGGGGGTAGTCATCGCAGTTCCCGGGAATGATAAATTCACAAATCACAGTAAATTAAACTTTGTCCATATCTTACTGATAATACAAATCGAAAGTCCTGAAAATCAGGAATCACCAGGCATAGATATTTCGTTTCACGAAGGGCGAAGAGTAAAAAGACGTGTTCACGAGTAACAGGAATGCAGTTATTGTCGAAACACGCTAAATAATACGAGCGTTTCACGCATCTCGGGGAAATAAAAAGTGTCTTTCACGGAAAACGAAAATACCCAATGGGACCCTCGGAAAAGGTTCAAGTGCGGTTTACCGGTGCAACTACTGCATCTAAATGGCAACCTTGGTCTAGAATTCACTTCATGGTCAGTTAAGGGAACACGGGCATTTGAACTTGAAAGTCTTAAACTCGCGTGTTACTAACTGTATATTACATCGATAAACTGATGTCTGGACACTGATGCACCTGAAGATTATTTCGAAAAACATTTGAGATGACGTCTTAATTGTTGTCCCTTTGTTATTGTGAGATATTTTGATAAAATTCGGGAGTGTATAAAAATAGAGTAGGTAAGAGGTCTCGACAGAATTTCAACTGACGAATATCGGAACACTTTTAAAATCTTTTGACTATTTTTGTACTTGTACATGCGATAATGGGAATGCTGAAATATTGTGGGTTTGTGTCCACATTGCTACTTGTAATTTTGGTAAGTACCTTTCTTCGTTGCGTATCGCAGTGCTCCTAATTCGATATTAGTTTTAATGTTTATGTCTTTTAATTGTAGCTTTTTTAAAGATATTAGGCATTGACCATTCAAAGCAAGCGATCAAATTCATATACGCATTTTATATGTACACCTAATTTTCATATAATATGGATTTAACTTTTATAATTTACATTCATATATATTTCATATTTCAGGTTCCCAAGCAATGTTCTGGACATTTTGACGGTTGTATGCATAAAAGCGGACGTTTAGGTATTTTTCTGAAACAGTGCAATACTCTTTGGACATACTTCATTAGATTAATGTTGCTTATATATATCTGACTTTTGATACCAACATTAAATAATAACTGCCGTTTATTTTTTACACTCTTATCTCACTATTACTTATGAAGACAGATTTTGTAGAAACTGGCAGTGGTGGCAGTATGGCATTGGTGAAATATATGGTAAAAATATACCCATTCGCCTTGGAAAATTATTATCGTTTCATTGCTTAATTTTTTCCTTATTTGATTACTTTCAGTATGCGAGTACCACTTGGAATTCGCTGATGCCTACACGATGACATATGAAAACGACCGGGTGGTAGCCGACTGCACCAAACCCGATGGCTCCCGGTTGGAAAATGGCTGCGTGGCCTGCAAACTGACGGAGGGCGGAAACTGCGGGGGGAATGACTCGGTTGCCTCCATCCCTTTTGGTGAGTTTTCATTTTAATTGTTAATGAAGTTGTTTACAAAACTATGTACCCTAAAGGTACTTTTAGGGTACATCAAACGATCCCCTCGTAAAAGATACTAATAAAGTGATAATAACTCTTCGTATGAGATCTATATTTCACAGTAAAAACATTGTGAACAACACATAGAAATATAATATATTCTGTTTTACCACAAAAACGGCAGTTATAGCTATTGTTCTGATATCTGAGCTTGTCTTTAGATCACATGACCTCCATTGATGGCTATACTCTGTTATAATCTCTTAGTAAAGGTCCCATTTTCTTGCCAATCCAAAAATCGGACACAATCCGATTATTTTGGTTTTGTTTCAATAAAGATACCCCATTTCTATTTCAGAAAGCATCAACACTGGCGATGGTATATTCCGCAGAATCGTCACAGTGAATGGTTCATTAGTTGGTCCAATTTTGAGAGTAAGTTAACTATTTCAACTTTATCACAAACAAGGTAATTACCAGTGAGTTGAAAAAAAGATATATTTACTGTTAGGGTATCACTGAAGGCTTAAAACAGGAAAATGATGTTATAAATCCTGCATGTATTAGTTAGTATCATTTATTTATTTATTTATTTATTTATTTATTTATTTATAACTCATTCTCCATCATTTCCATAGGGTAAAGTTGGAGCCCAAATGGTCATCCACGTGACCAACCACCTGTACGACAGTCCACTGGCCATTCACTGGCATGGTCAGTTCCAGTACCTGACCCCGTTCACGGACGGCGTCCCTATGATCACACAGTGTCCCATTGAGAAAGGACAAACCTTTACCTACAGATTTAAGGCGGATCCTGCTGGTAAGTAACACTTCTCTAAGTTAAAGACATCTTATATTCGCCAACTGCTGATTACAGTTTTTAATGTATGATAATTTTTTTCAATAATAATTACTTTTTTTCAATTCCATCACTGGTTTTGTTTGTTATATGTAACAAAACATAAGCATAGCCATAGCAGATGAATGGTAATGAATGGTATTAGGGTCAATCAAAACTTTTCTCAAAAGAACCTTAACCACTTGCATTATCATAGGCATCTAAGTTATCCTATAATTTACTTTTATCGTCAACTAACCATTTTGATTGCCCATGTCAAGGAACCTTCTGGTATCACGCCCATACAGCTGGAAAACGCTCAGATGGCGGACTAGGAGCTCTCATTATTCACGAAGATAACGAACCTAATGCCGTAGAATACGACCACCGACCAGACCTCGGTTTCGCAGCCACTCTCAATGGCCCATCACCACATGACAAGCACGTGGTCACTCTCCTGGACTGGCAACACGAGCAGACGTCGGACGTTTGGCTTCAACAAAATGGCGGAGGTTGGTTCTGGCCCAATAATCCTGTGTTTCCAACAACAAAGGATCGTTTCAGCCTCAGTTTTGGACCCGATGGCGTCGCCGTTGCTGGGATACCTTACGTGTCGGCTTTAATCAATGGTAGAGGGCGCTTTGAAAATCCACTGTGGCACCAAGACGCTCCAGAGGAGAACAACAAGGTTCCTTATGAACGATTCTACGTTGACCAACCGCATGACGACATGAAGCCTCAGAAATACAGGTTCCGTATCATTGGTGCTCAGCTACAGTTTGCTCTAAGGTTCTCCGTCGATGCTCATCTAATGACCGTTATCGCATCCGACGGGTTCGACATGGTACCGATACGAGGCGTGGAAAGTCTGATCGTTAACCCCGGTGAGAGATACGATGTCGTCATCCGTGCTCACAATCCACGAAACCGACAAGCATACTGGATCAGGGCTGCTCCTCACATCAGTGATCCAGGCTATGACATCGGCAACTACTCCCTCCAGGAAGGCAAGGCGCTGCTGATCTACGGAGACGAGACAAGCCCTTACATCTATCCCGAAGACGTCCGCGATGTTCCTCGCCCTTGCGTTAGGAACCCCAACAAAAAGTGTGTAATCGTCAACTGCAATTACATCATCCTCCCTCCCAGTTACAATGCCAGGTGTATCAACCCGGGGGAGTTCAAGAACAGAATGGGTGCTGTCCAGGTACCTGGTGTACGGGAACCACGTATTGAAAGATCCGAAAACCTCTGGATGAACTTTGCCTTCCAGACAGGAGGACCAGGTGTGAACGGGATATCATTCCGGGAACCGACCTCCCCTCCTCTCTCTCAGCCGGACCTCCTTCCCGGGTCCATTACACAGTGTCCGGGCACCTGCCGAGACTCAGATAACCTAGGAGGATGTAAATGTACCGGCACTGTCAATCTGAACTACAACAGGCCTTACCAGTTTGTCTTTACCAACGTTGGGGCAGGTGGTGCCAACAGTAAGTAGAAGTAAAGCAGGTTTCATTTTTATGTGAAAAATTTAATCTCTCATTCACATGTACACATGTATGCTCTTTTGTGAAAATACTGCCTGTGTCCAATGTTCCCAATGTTCTGTGTAGGAGTTACGTGTTGTGTTGCATCTTATTAAAAAAATTCAGAACGATTTTCAAAGGCATTTACGTATAGCGCCTTTATTAACATAGCTAAGTGAGTTTATTTTATACGTTACAAAATGTCGACGCACGTGAAGTTTTGTTAAGTTATAGTATAAGACATGTATTAAAATTTGATCAAACATATAACCCCTCATTCCAGCTGGCGCCCCACACCCCGTTCACATGCATGGCCACAGTTTCTACGTGCTGAAGGTGGCCTATCCAGAGCAGTCCCCGGACGGTCTCTTTAATAAGATACATCCGGACATCTGCTGTCCTTGCCCGGATGATGAGACGCAGTGCTGTACCACTATTGACGACAGGTATGTTCAAGAGTGGACATGTAGATAATTTCCCAATTAATTCAAGCCAAGTCAGAACGCTGTTGCCACCGATTTAAGTTGGATTTTATATAATCATGTATATTTGCATTTATGTGCACTGGTGGTGTATTTGGCATGGAATTGTTTAAATATTATCTGTTGATAACAGTGCCCTTTACTTACTCATTTCAAACAGCTTGATCTAATTATGAATCTAATTTTATAGGATGCTAGGCTATGTCAGGGAATAATATTATATTAAGAATATTAAAATTTCACTTTGGTGTACCCTCTTCAAGTAGCATGACAAAAAAGGGAATATCTTAATTTAATTCAGCCTTTTCTATTTTTGCTCTCCAGCAATAGGCACCTGACTAACTCCACGGGGGGCGTGGTTCTGTGTAACAACCCACGTTTCGTGAGAAGACGTTGGAACCAAGACCCGAACAGAATTCAGGGACTGGAACTGAATCATCCTCTGCAGAAAGACACCATCATCGTGCCGGCAGGGGGGTACACAGTGGTTAGGATAATGGCCAATAATCCAGGTGGGTTGTTTGTTTATATCAAATTGCTTTTTGTTGTTTTCCACTTGAAATGGCCAGTAAACATGAGCTAATCTAACTCTAAAACCTGTCTGACAGCAAAAGGTCTCAACTAATTTTATTCGTGTCGTCTTGAACAGGTTCATACTTCTGTTTTATTTTCATATTTTGGAATAAGGAATAACATCTAACTGTTAAAAAACCAGGAAGCAATAACAGAATTATTTTTCTTTTGTCCTAACAGCACTCTTGTTCCCAGTATATATTGTTTTTGTTTCGGTAAACAAACAATTATAAACATGATACAAATTGTCCAAACGAATAACCACCAGGTACAAACCATTAATCACATTTGTATAGCATTATTAAGCCTGAAATATTCTCTGTGCATTTTAGGTTGGTGGTTGGTCCATTGTCACATAGAAATGCACGCAACAGGAGGGATGGCGTTCGTGATGAACGAGGCTGCCAGAGAGCAGGAACAGCTTCATAAACCCAGAGGATTCACCACGTGTTCCAATTTTGAGTCCTCGGCACAGGACTATTACGACGCCATGGATGTTACCTTTTGTGATAGTGATAGTAGTGATAGAAGCTAATTTGTCTAATGAGGTTTTCCTTCCTGTCGTTCTTGTATACATCAGGGTTGCCTACACTGCTGAAAATTGCATATATCTTTTGTTGACGAAGTCAAAAATCAAAGATATACTCCTCAGCAGCAATCGTAAGAAATCTGTAGTTCGTAGCATTGGCATTTTATTTCAAAAACTATCCTTGTGAGGTCTAGCATCAAGAAAATAAGCGGTACGTAAAAACGTTTAAGGTAACGAGATGAATGGTTTCTTGTCAAATTACTGCTTGCGTGGTGGCGCAGTTGCAATCCTTAAAAGTAACACAATTATATATCAACACCACTGCCACTGTAGGGTGTGCCGGCAGCAAGGTGTCAAATCTGTGTAAATTGACTTACCGAGTAGACGTTGCATGCCTCAAAAAGGAGGTATTGGCTCTGTTCTGTGATAGGTTCAAAGGTATACTTACGTGTACGTTGAGAATTATAGAAAACCTTTCATCAAACAGAATTTTTACTAGCCTGGCCAATAAGCACTAGTTTCAAGATTCCAACGTTATATAATCAGTGAGCTGCATTGGCAAGCTGAGAAATTTAGTTATTTATACTGGTTCAGCCCTCTACTCACTGCCTATGTAACTGTCACTATGTCTTTCATCCATTTTCAACATTATTATTGAACATTTTCAACCGGAGGCCCTGTCCATGCATTGACAGCAGCCACCATGTTAGTCGTGACGTCAGCCTTCTTCACCACGTGACACCTAGGGGGAGTGCCTTTGCCCATATAAGTCTCATCTATATGTCTGCTTTTTAAAGCTTTAATAGATCGTCAGAATTAAGTTCACTGATAAATTCAAAATGAAAAGTATTGTTTGGCAAGTGAAAGCGCGACGTTACTCACAGAATGTGAAAGGCTTAGCAGCAATCTAGTACGGGAAATATACAGCTGCACAGTGGAGCTGCCAATCAAACACATATATGGACAAGTGTGACCTACTTTAAAACTCAGACACGCTACCACAGGGGTAAATCAACAATGCATTAGGCTAAAATTACGAGTTTATTTGTAAACTTCCATTATTTTAAGATAGGCTGATATGTAGTTGATATTTCATCTATGTAATACTGACAAATTCAGAAAAACACCCAAATTTTGACAATTTACTGTTAATTACTACCTTAATGTGATTCAAATCTATGTCATGTCAGTGTCTCTTTTGCATGTCTCGGAAGTGATAAAATGTTTCGTGTCTGATTATATTTGACCTATATACTTCGAAATAAGTCGTTTATAAAGGTCTTCATACTTTCAGGGTACTTGTGTATAAAGTGGTATTTTTTTCAGTATTAATTTATTTAAGTTCAAATATACTTTTTCATAATACAAACTTCGTCGTCTGTCTTATCCTTTGAGAAAAATACACGTCTTAAAAGTTCAGAACTGTTTTTTCGACAAGTGTAAGCATATTTTTTTCGTGTTCACCAATCAGAAAAATAGAAAACAAGACAAGGATGAAACACTGGTCTTGGTAAAGCCAATTAAGAGATAAGAATTTAAAAATAATGTCCAAAAGTAAAACTTAAATATAGATACATGTATTTGTACAAAATTACAATGTTGCGACAGCTGTTCTATCACAATCTCCGATAAAAACAAAACGCAATCTTCGTGTCTCTGCTACTGCAGCGCCACTGAACGAACACGCATAGATCTATGTGACTTTTGAAGTATGGACTTTAGAGGATTTATCTAATGAAGACAATATATAGGTTATGACATATGTGTGTCATCAATATGAAGAAGAATGAAAACCTCTACTCACAATTACAATTGAGGGCAGGGCACAGTGCACATTATCTACATCGAAATCATGATGTACAGCTGATAAGTCATTTTATATAATTGGAAAGCCTCCAGGTTGATCAGCACAAATGAATATAAATATTGTTTGAAAATTGAAAGCATGATAACATGATAGCAAAACATGTACATTATTTATTTATTTGTTTGTTTATTTATTTATTTATTTATTTATTTATTTTTGTAAAAGGCTCGTGTCACAAAGTTGGGAACCTGCCATAGTTTACGTATATTGAGAAAAAACATTTATTACAAAACTCTGACAGCTTCCAAATCTCCTCAGCTAGTACTGCGCTTGGTGAATCTTACCCGCAGCCATTTCGATTGTCCGGTCAATGCTTGATTTCGCTAATATTGCGAGTCTTGGGGGGATAATCGTTTTTTTTTTATTATTATTTTCGTCAAACACCTTAGCGTAATGTTATTGACACGGAAGTTTTCGAGCCGAATCCTCATACTATTTTTTTGCACCGGAAGAAAAGAGGTAGATCGGAGGAGTGGGCTATGGGAAGCCTTTTTTGATACCGTGATATCCTTTGAAAAATATATGAAACTGCACAATTGCACATAAAACATGGATATTTAAAGTATTAGTGTGATTTATTTATGCGTCAAAGTTCTTGAAAAACAAGCAGTAAATTTTTTAGGTTTTATGCATCAAACCAGCTTACTTTACGTACTCATAAGCTATCAGTTTTAAAGAAGAAAATTACAACAGGTTTCTCTTTTCTATGTCATCATTATTATGATAAAAATCATTTCCCAATCGGGCCCCAAACTTCAGAAGCTGTGCTGAAATATGTGTAATTTTGTACTACGCCTTGCTGCCACATCATAGTTACCGAGAATCATCTAAAAACAAATAGAAATCCATGTCCAAGACATCTTCAATCGAACTACTTCAATATTTTTAAACAACCAAATAATTAGCGAATTATAAAGATAAAGTTCTTATTCAAATAATTGGTCTTATCACTTTCATTTCAGGTATGTAGGTCTAATCGTTTTAATACGGAATGAATCTAAACTCCTTTTCTTTGTGTGGTGATTGAACCGCCAGTGACGCTCCATATACGAAAGAGCCCACGTATGTGCCGACGCTGGGGTCGTAATCCCCGCCCCAACCGACCACGGCGATGTAGAGGGTGGTCAAGTCAGCCGTTGTAGTGGACACGGAAAGAGAATTGAGTGGCAACTGAAAAGGGTTACTGGCGATGGCGTCCTGATGATCGTTGCATGGCATAATCTTACAAACGTACTGCGCAAACGCAGCGTTAGGCCCGATACCAAATATGGTGCTGTCGATGCGGTAGTTTTTGGTGGTCTGCGGGTTTGGGCAGAAGGTGATTGCGAGAATGACAGTTTGGCCATATACGACATGGAAAGGTTTGTCTATATGCACCACCTGGTCCAGATACACGAGTCCCGCATCTATATAGCTCTTCAGGTTCATGGACTTTGGAGGGTTTATCTAATAAATAAAATAAATATGTAGGCTATGGCAGATCTGTGTCATCGACATCTAAAAGTCAGCAGTCATCCATTGTTCTAGTTTATCAGTGTACTTGAAAGAGAAGATGTTGGAGACGAATTCAAATTATCATTAAGATTGTTCAAAATAAATAAGATAGCGAACAACATTAAAATTTTATCACAAAGTTATCGGCATTGCAAGTGCATTTAAAATTATTGTCTACATGCTAAGCCTATGTCTTCAATAGGAACTTTTCATCATAACAAGAACTTGGACCACTTTAAGTGGAAATATATAACTTTTTAAGTGTCTGTGACGAATGTTGAATTGACCTTGCCTTTTCTAAATGCGAATCTGATGCAGCTTTTACAAACTCCACGATCACTGTAAAAGATATATCCCCGACATCTGAAGCCACTGTGTTCACATAAAGGTCGCTTGTGGCGACCCAGTTTCTCACCGTGCAGTTTGGAGCTGGATTGGCATTGGCGTCAGGCCAGTTTTGGCAAAGTACACTCGCTTCCAGCTGGACATCCACATATGTATAAATGCATTCAAAAAAAAATAATAGGTGCTCGTGCGCGCGTGAGTGCATGAGAGAGAAAGAGAGAGAGAGAGTGATTCTCAAAAAGTATGCGTTTAAATTAGACAAACTTTCATTAATTTAACTTGCTTAACAGAGAGATAATGTGAACCACGTGGTCAAGAAAGACAATCCGAAAAAAGAAGGGATTTGCTCATCAATTTCAGTGCTTTCTGGCACATGATCTTTTTATAAAGCTGAGGAACTGAATCTATTGAAAATAAATAAATAAATAAATAAACGGAAAAGCACTCACGTTGCCAGCCACTGGTGCTGTAGTGACCGTGAAATTGATCACCCCGAAGGTCGGGTTCCAGTCCGGGTTTCTCTGGAGCACTACGCTGACAACGACATCTTTACCTTTGAAGGCGTCGCAGAGGCTGGCCACGTAGGTACCTTTCTCTACTGGTTTTGTTGACTGCAAGGCCCCGGTCACGTACCGGGTACCTGTCTCAATGGGGGTCTGGCTTAAGCCTTAAACAAAAGGGACCCAACTCACTATCATCGTTCAGACTTATAAAGAATAAAAATGGTAATTAAATGTATAAAACAGACGAACAAATTGCTTAGCCAATGTATGCCTAGAGTCCATGTTAAGGTTCGTGATAATTTTGCATTAAACAATAACGGTGAACGTGACGGCGTGACGCTTACGTTCAAATAAACATAATAAAACAATTATTTACAGTGGTGGATTCAGAGGGGGTGTCAGGAGGGTCCAGACCCCCCTTCGATTTCTAAAAAAAATTCACACCAATGGTTCCCTCTCGAAATTAGAATTTTGAATGGTTGAAAAAAAGTTCTAAACCGTGCCAAATGGCACTGTTCGCCCGCTTAAATTTTAATACCAAAACTTTTCGCATCCGTTGACCCATCCCCCTTCAAATAGTCCTGGAACAGACCCTGATTAAAATACCAACATTTAAATCATCAAGTTATAATATATATATATATATCACACTTCCGTTCCCCATTCACCCACCCACCCCTTACCTTCTCCGAAACAAACCAGAACACACAGACTAAACAGCGCGGCAGACATGTTGTCTTTCCAAGGTTCCCTCACAACATTTAGTCGATGAAAGTTGCAGGGTCTGTATATATCTATCTAAATACGTGTGACAAGGAAATGCCGTCCCTCCTATATTGACACAAGTTCTATCAGTCTGAAGGTTACGGGTGTATCATGGTTTCAGTTCTCTCAACCTTATCAATCAGAGCACTAGTTTCATTTAATGTGATTTAATTGTTATGTCAGTCGCTCTTTTCCATGTCTAGGAAATAATAAGAAGGTTCGTGTACTTCGAAATAAGTCGGTTATAAAAGTTTCCATACTTTCAGGATATTTGTGTATAGCCTAAATTGTTATTTTTTTCAGTATTAATTTATTCAAGTTCAAATATATTTTTTCATAATACAAACTTCGTCTTCTGTCTTGACCTTTGAGAAAAAAAAAAACACGTCTTGAAAGTTCAGAGCTGTTTTATCGACAAGTGTGAGCATATTTTTTTCATTTCCCCAATCATGAAAATAGAAAACAAGTCAAGGATGGTACACTAGTCTTGGTAAAGCCAATTCAGAGATAGCAATTTAAAAATAATGTCCAAAAGTAATACTTAAATATAGATATTTGTACAAAATTACAATGTTGCGACAGCTGTTCTATCACAATCTCCGATAAAAACAAAACGCACTGAACGCACACGCATAGATCTATGTAACTTCAGTAGTTTGGACCTTAGAGGATTTATCTAATGAAGACAATATATAGGCTATGACATATGTGTCATCAATATGTAGAAGAATGAAAACCACTAGTTACAATTACAATCGAGGGCAGGGCACAGTGCACATTATCAACATCGAAATCATGATGTACAGCTGATAAGTCATTTTATATAATTGGAAAGCCTCCGGGTTGATCAGCACGAACAAATATCAATATTGTTCGAAAAGTGATGGCCTGACAACATGATAGCAAAACATGTACATCATTTATTTATTTGTTTGTTTATTTATTTATTTTTGTAAAAGCCTCGTGTCACAAAGTTGGGAACCTGCCATAGTTTACGTATATTGAGAAAAAAAGTTTATTACAGAATTCTGACAGCTTCCAAATCTCCTCAGCTAGTATTGCGCTTGGCGAATATTACCGCAGCCATTTCGATTGTCCAGCCATTGCTTAATTTTGCTAATATTGCGTGTTTTTGGAGGATAATCGTTTTTTTTCGTCGAGCACCTTAGCGTAATGTTATTGACACGGACGTTTTTGAGTCGAATCCTCATATATTATTATTATTATTATTATTATTATTATTATTATTATTATTTTATTTTATTTATTTATTTTTTTTTTTTGCACCGGAAGAAAACGGGTAGATTGGAGGAGTGGGCCATGGGAAACTTTTTTTGGTACCCTGATATCCTTTGAAAAATATATGAAACTGCACAATTGCACATAAAACGTCGATTTATTCATATTTAAATTATTGGTGTGATTTAATTATGCGCTACAGACATTGAAAAACAGGCAGTAAGAATTTTAGGATATGTGCATCAATCCCAGCTTACTTTACATATACTCATAAGCAATCAGTTTTACAGAAGAAAATTACAACAGTTTTTTTTTTTCTATGTCATCGTTATTTTGTTAAAAAATATTTGCTATTTGGGCCACAAATTTCGGAAGATGTGTTAAAATATGTTTAATTTTGTACAACGCCTTACGGCCGCATCATAGTTACACAAAACTGAGAATAATCTAAAAACAAATAGAAATCCATGTCCAAGACATCTTTAATCGAACTACTTCAATATTTTTAAGCAACCAAATAATTAGCGGATTAAAAAGATAAAGTTCTTATTCAAATAATTGGTCTTATCACTTTCATTTCAGATATGTAGGCCTAATCGTTTCAATATTGAATGAATCTAAACTCCTTTTCTTTGTGTGCTGGTTGAACCGTCAGTGAAGCTCCATAGACGAAAGAGCCCACGTACGCGTGGACGCTGGGGTCGTACTCCCCTCCCCAACCGACCACGGCAATGTAGAGAGTGGTCAAGTCGGCTGTTGTAGTGGACACGGAAAGAGAGTTAAGTGGCAACTGATAAGGGTTACTGGCGATGACGTTTTGACGATCGTTGCATGGCAAAATCTTACAGACGTACTGCGCAAACGCGGCGTCAGGCCCCATGGCAAATACAGTGCTGTCGATGCGGTAGTTTTTGGTGGTCTGCGGGTTTGGGCAGAAGGTGATTGCGAGAATGACAGTTTGGCCGTATACCACTTGGAAAGGTTTGTCTATATGCACCACCTGGTCGAGATACACAAGCCCCGCATCTATATAGCTCTTCAGGTTCATGGACTTTGGAGGGTTTATCTAATAAATAAAATAAATATGTAGGCTGTAGTAGATCTGTGTCATCGACATCTAAAAGTCAGCAGTCATCCATTGTTCTAGTTTATCAGTTCACTTGAAAGAGAGGATGGTGGAGACGAATTCAAATAATCCCTCAGATTGTTCAAAAATAAATAAGATAGCGAACAGCATTAATATTTTATCACAAAGTTATCGGCATTGCAAGTGCATTTTTATTGTCTACGTGCTAAGCCTATGTCTTCAATAGGAACTTTTTTACCATTACAAGTACTTGGACCACTTTAAGTGGAAATTTATAGCTTTAAATGTCTGTGGCAAATGTTGAATTGACCTTACCTTTTCTATATCTGAATCTGATGTAGCTTTTACAAACTCAACGATCACTGTAAAAGATACATCGCCAACATTTGAAGCCATTGTGTTCACATAGAGGTCACTTGTGGAGCTCCAGTTTTTCACCGTGCAGTTTGGAGCTGGTTTGGCATTGGCGTCAGGCCAGTTTTGGCAAAGTACACTCGCTTCCAGCTGTATAAATACATTCATAAAGAAAAAAATTATAAGTGCTCAAGCGCGCGCGTGTGTGCGAGAGAGAGATACATATTCTCATAGAACATGCGTTTCAATATTAGACCCCATTTCCATAGACTTTAGATCGGTCTATCCCTGTGGGGAGCCTCAATAGATTACTGTCAGCTTAGCCGGCTTAAGCGTCTATCCCGCCTACTAAAAGCTGTAAGGGGATAATTAACTATGGTGCGCGCTCGGTTGACTACAATTTAGCGTGAATCCCCAGGGAGTTAGGTCGATCTAAATCTTAATCTCTGGATCGATCTAAATCTCTGGGAATACACCCTTAGACAAACGTTAATTAAATTGACTTGCTTAACGAATTGGTCATGATAATTCGAAAAAAGGAAGGATTTGCTCATCAATTTCAGTGCTTTCTCTCACATGATCTTTTCGTCCATTGACAATAAATAAATAAATAAATAAATAAATAAATAAATAAATAAATAGAAAATCACTCACGTTGCCAGCCACTGGTGCTGTAGTGACCGTAAAATTGACCACCCCGAAGGTCGGGTTCCAGTCCGGGTTTCTCTGGAGCACTACGCTGACAATGACATCTTTACCCTTGAAGGCGTTGCAGAGGCTGGCCACGTAGGTACCTTTCTCTACTGGTTTTGGTGACTGCAAGGCCCCGGTCACGTACCGGGTACCTGTCTCAATGGTGGTCTGGCTTAGGCCTAAAACAAAAGGGACCCGCCTCACCTTCATTGTTCACAGTAGATAGAATAAAAAATTACTTAATATATAAAGCAGACTAACAAATTGCTTAGCCAATCCATTCCCTAAGTCCATGTTAAGGTTCGTGGAAATTTTGCATTAAGCAATGACGGTGAACGTGACGGTGGGCGATGGCGGTTACTATGAATTAAACATTAAAATAAAACAATCATTAAAACGCCAACATTTAAACCATCTAGTTTATATATTTCTGAATTACAACTTTTGTGAACGAATGATAAATAGCATTAAATTTCAAATATATTTTCAAACGTCAACCTTCTCCGCCCAGTCATTCAACGTTACAGAATGTGTCAAACACGGAATAAAGAGCCCGACCTCCACC